CTGAACCATTCAGGGCCCGGGGAAGGAGGGAGCGGGGGGCCGGAGGCCTCCCAGAGGTACCCTGGCCTTCCTAGGGCCGAGGGGGTCTGCCTTTGGAGCCTGCCTCTGGAGCGTGCCCCACAGCTTAGCACAAGGCAGGCGCAGTGGATCAGCACCCCTGTACCAAGCCAAAAATGTGGGAATGGGGTCCGCGGTATCCAGACTTCAGTGCATAACGTGGGGTATGGCTTGGAAGAAAATCCTGAAAGGGTGGCTAGATAACGAGGCTTGAGGTCTGTTTTGGTGAAATATTTTCATACTTCCCCTTTCTGTGATTTTTTTTCCAAGTCAAGCAGCTGAACTTTTATTTTCCAGGATAAATCTGACTTAGAGCATGCTGAAAGGCCACCGTATTCTGGGTGAGCGCAGAATTGGTCAATTCTGGTTGGCTTGGTCAACCCAGAAGCAGCAGAATGACTGCACCAGCCACGTTTGCCACCCCAAGGAGACCACGGTGTGTGTGGATGTGTTTGCCCATAACCACACTTGTCCCTCATAGCAGCACATCTCAGTGCCATTGCTCTGGACTTGGGTGGTTAAACAAATTTTAGAGCATTTATTGCTGAGTGGAGGAGATGGGTGCTGGAGTCAGCCTTCAAAGCACCGCTTTGGTTGCCACATCACTCTCTCCAGGCTATAAAATGCCATCGTGTTTATACAGGAGCTGTGCAAGAGCCTGTTCCTCCTGCTGTGGTACAATGGAGACAGAGACCACTTCTCTCTTCTCGCCTGCTTCAGCCTCTCCTGAATGCTCTGAGGTGCAAAAGTCAAACAAAATCCCCACATTTTCCAGGCTGCTGGCTTGAGGGATGAGACCTGGTGCCGGTCTTTGTAGACCCTGCAGCAGCGTTCATGGGGAGGGGGCCAATGGGGCCCCTCATCCCCGTGGGAGCAGGGCTGTCCCCAGTGCCAGATGGGGATGGCTGCAGCCACATCCCGTGGAGCCCTGCGGTCCCTGAGGATGGGGACTCCCCACCTCCTGGTGACCCCTCCCAGGGCTGCAGCGTCCCCAAGGACCCCTGAACCTCTCTCACCGCTGTGGCCAGCCCCATTGGCCCAGCTTCACTTCATCCCCCAGTTGTCAGGGAGTGTCCCCTGGGCCCTCTCTACTTTCTCTACCTCCCTTCTCACACAGGAGCCCAGATCTGCGGGACCTGTTGCTGGTGCATCCCCCACGGGGGTTAATGGTCTTCGGGAACCTCCTGCCCAACTGGTCCCCTCAAACCATCCCCAGAGCCAAGCCTGGGGCATGGGGGAGCCTTGAAGGGGAAAGATGGGGAGAGTGGGCTTGAAGTGACACTACACATCCCGTTACCGTGGCTTTTGTGGCTTTTGGTGGCCTGTGGCAGCCCTCCCTGTGCTGCCCTCTGGGGCTGCTTCACCCAAGGTTTTGTGGCTGGACAGGGAAGCCAGCGTGTGCAGGGAGCAGCGGTGAGATGCTCAGGGCAGGTAATCGGTGCCTGCAGCCTCTCAGGGTTGCAGTCGGTCAGTGGATGGATGTCCGTTAAACAGACAAACAGGGAATGAATTGAGGAAGAACATCAGAGCAGAAAGGGAGGGGTAGTCCTTAATACACCAGAATATAACGGTTCTTATTGGATACTAAACCTACGTAGGGGCTACCCCACCTCGCTCCCAGTGGAAGGGGAGGCCACGGCAAGCCTTTGGCCAGGGGCTGGGTGCCAATGGTTGGCCTGAAGGAGGTACAAGGCAGAGGTGCAACATGTGCTGGGCGGTTGGGGTCTTCTAGCAGCTCAGGGTGGCACGGGCAGGGGGTCAGGTCAGTTACAGGTTTACTGGGCAAGCAGGGTGATGGAGGTGGGGGGCTCAGCAGGGAGAGGTGGCTGGTGTCCACATCCCCACAGAGGGGACCCACCGCGGCCTGGCAGAGCACCGTGCACTGGGGTGAGCCCCTGTGCCAAACCAAAACCTCACAGAGATTTTGGTCTGCACACAGCCCCCGACAGTGGCCTAGAGCGTCTGCCATGTCGGCCCCAGTGCCGGAGCCTCCTGCCCTGGTGAGGAGCCCCGAGGAAGGGCAGTGCGGTAGACATGAGCCTGGGCATGTCCTCACCCAGCTGTCTGCAGCCCTGGAGAACCCAGACATCAGAGCTTTGGAGGTGAGGGGCGATACTGCGCTGGACACGGGAGTTGTGATGGGCACAGACTTCATTCCCAGGTGCTGTGAGCACGGCCCTTGTCCCTGCGTGAGCCTTGTGTGTGAACACAGGATCCTGATGTGTGCCAAGCTTTGGGGAGGGGGAAGGAGTGGGAAAAGCTCCTTTCTGCAGAGGGTGGGTGTCCCTGGGGCTGGGGCTGCTCCCCAGAAACAAAAAGGCATGATGTTACTCCCCAGTCTTCCTCAAACTGGGAGTAAGTGACCCCAAACTGTCATCTGCGAGCTTCTAGTTAAGCTGTATGAAACGGCAGCTGAATAATTTCCAGCCAACTCCTTGTAGAGCAGTTTTCTGCCCTGGTGGCACGCTCCAGGGCGTCCCCAGCTGCTGCTCAGAGCCTGGCAGTGCCACCGTGGGTGATGGGGGGCAAGGTAGCAGCCAGAGCCCCATCAGGGCCAGCAGGACTGGTGGGGCCACCCAGCCCCGTGGTGCCAGCTGCCATAGAAAGCCACTGCAGCCACAGGGGCTGCTCCTGCTCACCAGCTGGCCAGGCTTGCCTCCAGAAGCTTGGGGCCACATTGGGTGTAAAGCCCTAAATCCCGGGGTTATTAATGGCCAGCAAAGGGTCCAAGCCACGGTGTCAGGGTCATCCACACCAGGGCCCAAGGAAAGCGGGTGCGGGGACTGGCATGATGGGAATGTTGCTTGTCAGCGTTGTCCCCCACATCTGCCACAGTGGTCCAAGAACAGGCGAGGTGTCCGTGTCCGTGCCGAGCTGTATGAGGAAGAGATGGGGAGGAACAAAGAGCTCTTTCCGGAGCTGGCGGATCTTGGCTGTGTCGCGGCACTGCAGGCCTGGCTGCAAGCCTATGGTTTCAAACTCAAAAGAGCAAAGTAAGTCACCAGGTCTCCTTCACGAGCCAACGTCGTGCTGCAATGTAGCCAGCACCACCATGCGAGGAGCAGCCACCAGCAAGGCCTGGGTCTGCCCCAGCTAGGCTGCCTTGCGCGAGGGTGAACCAAGGGTGAGGAGGAAGGGATGAGCGTGGGATGGAAGGTATCAGTACCCAGGATCTGTGGCCGGGCGTCACTCTGCTTTTACACTGTTGAGAATCAAGGAGCTTGGTTTGTAGTAATTTTAAGAGTTGCATAGAGTTTGAAAGAGCAGATAAACCAGAGGAGTGTAGACGGGGAGAAGCCCAAAGAGTCACAGGGCTCATGGTGGAGAGGGAAATGGCGCCTGTGGCAATGCAGTAGCCCGGAGCCATCCATCAGCCACAGTCAGCGACCACCAGCCATGTCCAGGTACAGCCAGGGAGCTGAGCCAGCACGGCCAGGGCAGGAGCAGGAAGGT